ACACTGTAGGCTTTTTCTTCTCTAGGAAGGCACTACCTAGTTGGGGTCCCTTGTGGGCCCCCATAAATGTGTTTTGAATTGAACTGGCTCCCTTTTATGAGCTACATCATTTCTATTACAAGTAAAACAACCTCCAATGAAGAAAAAATCATGGTGTTTTATGGGAGTCCTAAAAACTTGCGATCTCCAGGAATGAGGGATTTAAAATCTTGCTTATTTCTGATAAAGTCACATTCACTTGAAAAACGAGAAAAACTTACAAAACATCCAGGTTTCTTTTTTTCTTTGATGAATTTGTTTTAAGTTGAGTTGATCACCTTTAATGATGCCCAACTTCGGTGCTATGTCAAGAATGAGAACGTTCCTCTTTTATGGCCCTTTTCAATGGCACCATTTTCCAGGGTACCATTTTCCAAATATTTATATTTCTCCAACTAGACTGTGAGCTACCTAAGACCAGAGAGGGTTTCTGTTTGATATTATAGCCCCAAAGCCCCAAGTGTTTAAGAGATACTTACTGAATAGATGGAAAGAAGACTGACTGACTGAATGAATGAATGAATGAGCAAACATTTATAGGGGGAAGGGTATGAGAGGAATTGGGAGAGGAGACATGGAGAGATCTAGAAGAGAATAAGATCCACAGAAGCAATCCTGGATTTTAGAGTCGCTTTCATTATCTTACATCATTATAAGCAGTAAGAGCCAGAGAGAATTTTAAGGATAACGTGCTTTCTAAACTGTTCATTTTTCAGATGAGGAAACTGATTCCCAAGCAGTTAGGTGACTTGCCTGGTGTTCCCTGACAGATTTGTGGGAACTGGGCCAAATGCCAGGTAGCCTGGTTCCCAAAGGTTCCCCATTTCACCTTTCCCAGTTATATTTCAAGGATGGGATTAAAGACCTTCAGAAACTTCCATCTACAACAGATTATGCTGTCTTTGCATCACAGCATCAAGAAATGCCTATGCACAATTGCCTACTATTTAAAAATTGTAACAGTATAAAGTTTGGCACACTATCACTTAACTGACACTCCTAATTTGGGGCAAGAGGACTGTGCCCCATGGTACTCACCTAGTTGTGCTATTTTTCTAAGCCACCCGCCCTTTACCCAGGGAAGCGTCCCAGTACATGCAGAGTGTAGGTCAAATTTCTTCTTTTCTCAAGTCCAGTTGACTATTGTGATTGACATAGTTCCTCCTCCCTTGGTCATTTTCAGAGATGAGATCATTGCCTCCTGAGTCTCTGAGGACATTCTCCCCTGGGTACAGAGGTATTAGGAGGGAACCAGTCAGTTCAGTTCTAATCCACAACAGTTATTAAGCAGCTTTATAACCTTTCTAATGGCTAAGAGTGTGCGATCTGGATTCAGATTACCTGGGGTTCAATCTCAGCGCTGCCATTTAATAGGATTTGTTACCTTAGGCAAGTTATTTAATTTAAATTGCTTTATTGTTAAAAGGAAGATGATGATAAGCCCTCTCTCTGGAGGTTGTGGTAAGATTGAAATGAGATAATCCGTGCAAATGCTTAGCACAGTGCCTGGTATATAGTAAGTGATCAATAAACGTCAGCTACTAATATCACTGTTTGCATTCTAAACAGGTACTATGCTAGATTCTGTGTTTTTTTGGTTTTTTTTGGTTTTTTTGGGGGGGATGGAGTCTTTCTCTGTCACCCCAGGCTGGAGTGAAGTGGCACAATCCCAGCTCACTGCAACCTCTGCCTCCCAGGTTCAAGCGATTCTCCTGCCTCAGCCTCCTGAGAAGCTGGGACTACAGGTGTGCACCACCACACCCAGCTAATTTTTGTATTTTCAGTAGAGACAGGGTTTCACCATGCTAGCCAGGATGGTCTCGATCTCTTGACCTCATGATCCGCGCCCACCTCGGCCTCCCAAAGTGCTGGGATTACAGGCGTGAGCCACCGCACCCGGTCGCTAAATTCTTTAAGAGCCAAAAATAAATTTTAAAACATAAGAGACAACTTCTGTCATCAAGGAGCTCATATGTAGGCAGAGATACTGGTTTTCAGCACAAGTGATGGAATATTCAAATAATTCAAACAGAAAATAAAGATGTATTTTTAAAATGTGACCGATGAATGTAAAGTCCAAGTAAAAGGAATTTGATGTAACGCGCTCTCTCTGATTTGTCCACAGCCCTGCTAGATGTATTTTTATGAGCACTTTTCAAAGCCACTGAGCCTCTGAAATACTACTCCAAAAGAAACATTTGATAAATGGTAGCTATTTGTGACTTTAGCACCAAGATGTTTGTGACATGGAATGCCAGGGAGGTCGGCTCCTTTTCTTCAGCCAAATAATTTCACCTCCCTTGGCCTCATTTTCCTTGTGGTTAAAACCAGCAACTTGGGGCACAGGCTCTCAGTGGCCCCTTGGCAATGGCATCCTATAGCTCAGTAAATGCTTTTTTGACATCAGTGTGACTACCAACCCTAAACACCAAGAGGTCCCCAGCTCTGCTTCAAAAGGTTAAGAACTGTCTGGAGGTCTTCCGTCTGGGTTGGGGACCCCGTTAAGGATACTCTACATTACATGAATCTGTCACAGTATTCTCTTGTTGCTTTTCAGAAATATGATTTCACCTGCAATGTATTTGAACCCACATAACAATGAGTTGTATCATAACACGATTTTTCCATAACGATGTCAAATGTAGGGCATTGCTTCACTTGAAAAAGGAAAATTGCCCACCCACTGCAGAGTTTTCTTCTTAGCATATGCTATTTAGTTAACATCCTTTTTCAAATGTGAGCATTCAAAATCACACTAGGGGCTCTAATTTAGAAAAAAAAAAATAAGTCTCTACAATTGCTAGCAAACCTTTTGTCAGAGCATCCAGCTTCTGTTCCCTAGTATTTTCTGTTTTTTTGTTTTTAAAAAATTAGTTTTTTTGCTCTGGCCTTACAGGTTGAGAGGCATTATACAAACTAATTTATAGAATTGCTTTATTTACATAGACAGCAGAGAACTTATTTTCAATATCATATTATTTTCATGAATATTATTTTCAATATCACGGGGGTGTTCTGTGTGAATAAACTACCTTTCTCCCTATGTTTGGGTTTAAGAATTAACTTTCATTTACTCCCAACTAATTTTAACAACCTGAAATTATCAGCAGTTCAGACAGACTTTTAGCATACTGACTACATTGTCTGTCTGCCCTACATCCCCTTCTTGTAGGAACTACTCCTCCCTGACTCCAGGTAATTTTCTAGACTGTCAGTCATGTCTCTACTTTCCCAACTAAAGTGCTGGACCCAGGCTGTCCAATCAGAGTATTCCAGAATCCTGAAAACAGCACTGATGGGTACTAGAACAGGCATTTATCTCAGGCATGGCCAACTAGAATCCTTCATGGATATAGAGGAATATGCCTTTTCTAAGTCTACTCAAAAGACTTAGTAGGCCTTCAGCTACTGGTGACCATCTTTGTCACACATGAGAGAGCTGGCCCAAGAATGATCATAACCAAAAGATGGCAAGAGATGGGGGAGTGTCGTGGTGACATTGTTTGAACCACTGGATCCACAAAAATCTATCCCATGCCTAATGCTAGTCCAACCCTCGGACTGCCTAGTAATGTGAGCAACTGTACTTCTTTTTTAGTGTAAGCTAGTCTGAGTTGGGTTTCTACCACTAAAACTAAAAAAGCCCTGGCTAATCTTTTTCTGGGTGCCAGTACCATCTTCACAGTTACTAGATATGTTATCTTAGGCAAGCTGTTCACTGCCTTCGAGCCTCAGCTTCCTCATCCGTAAAATGGGGATAATGATATTTACCTCAAAGGATTGTTATACAGAATCAATTAGATAATACACATAACAGAATTGGAGAAAATATTTTCAAACTGTATACAGGTTGAGTATTCCTTATCTGAAATGCTTGGGACCAGAAGTGTTTCAGATTTTTTTTTTTTTATTTCTGGAACATTTGCGTATACATAATGAGACACCTTGGGGATGGAACCCAAGACTAAACACAAAATTCACTGATGTTTCGTATAAACCTTATACACATAGCCTGAAGGAAATCTTATACCATATTTTTAATGATTTTGTGCAAGAAACAAAGTTTGCATACAATGAAATATCAGAAAGCAAAAGTGTCAGCATCTCATGTTGGCATTCAAAAAGTTTTGGATTTGGGAGAATTTCAGATTTGGGATTTTCAGATTAGGAATGCTCAACTTGCATTTGATAAAGGTCTAGTATTCAAAATATATAAACTTTTGCAACCCAATAATAAAGAGATAAATAATTAATTTAAAAGTGGGCAAAGGGGTTGAATAGACATTTCTCCAAAGATATACAAATGGAAAATAACCACATGAAAAGATGCTCAACATCACTAAACATTAGGAAAATGCAAATCAAAAACACAATGAAATGCCATTTTGCACACACTAGGATGGCTGTAATAAAAAACATGGAAAGTATCAAGTATTGCCAAGGATGTGAAGAAACTGGAACCCACCACATTGCTGGTAGGAATGTAAAATTTGGCAACTCCTCCAAAGGTTAAACCTAGTGTTATCATCTGACCTAGCCATCGCATTACTATTATGGACTGAATGCATGTGTCCCACCCAAATCCATATGTTGAAATCCTAACCCAATGTGATGGTATTACGATGTGACAGTTTTGAGAGGTAATTAAGTCATGAGGGTGGAGCCCTCATGAATGGGAACAGTGCCTTATAAAAGAGACCCCAGGCTGGCATGGTGGCTCACACCTATAATCCCAGCACTTTGGGAGGCTGAGGTGGGGAGATCACCTGAGATCAGGAGTTCAAGACCAGCCTGGCCATCATGGTGAAACCCTGTCTCTACTAAAAATACAAAAAATTAGCCAAGCGTGGTGGCGCACACATGTAATCCTCGCTACTCAGGAGGCTGAGGCAGAATTGCTTGAACTCAGGAGGCAGAGGTTGCAGTGAGCTGAGATCGCACCATTGTACTCCAGCCTGGGTGACAGACCAAGACCTTGTCTCAAAAAAAAAACAAAAAAACAAAAAACAAAAAACAAAAAAAAAAACCCAGAGAGTAGCTCTCTAGCTATTTTTCAGCCATATAAGGACACAATGAGAGGTCAACAGCCGGCAACAGGGAAGAGGGCCCAGAGCCCAACCATGCTGGTACCCTGATCTCAGACTTTCAGCTTTCAGAACTGAGAGAAATACATTTGTTGTTTGTAAGCCATCCAGTCTAGGGTAATTTGTTACAGCAGCCCGAACTGACTAAGACATTCCTAGGTAAATACACAAGAGAAATGAAAACATATGTCCACATAAAACCTTGTACACCAATGTTCACAGCAGCATCATTCATAACATTCAAAAAAACAGAAACAGCTCAAACATTCATGAACAAACAGATGGATAAACAAAATGTGGCATATCCATACAATGGAATATTATCCAGCCATAAAAAGGAATAAAGTAGTGGCACATGCTACAACATACATAAAACTTGGAAATATTATGCTAATTCAAAAGCCAGATACAAAAGACCACATACTGTATGATACCTTCTATATTAAAGATGCAAAATAGGCAAATCTATAGAGACAGAAAGCAGATTAGTGGTTACCAGGGGCTGGGGGGAAGTGGTAATGTGCAATGACTGCCAGTGGGTACAGGGTTTCTTGTGAGGAGTGACAAAAATGTTCTGGGATTAGACCATGGTGATAGTTCTATCATTTTGTGAATACACTAAAAACCACTGAATTGTATATCTTAAAAGGGCAAATTTTATATGAATTATCTCAATTTAAAAAATAACCCCTATGGTGATGAAGATAGAAGGCATACCTTACCTGTTAATAACAACTAGAATGACTATGATTTAGTATCTACTGTATATAAGGCAATTTATTTATATGATTTTGTTTAACCCTCACTGCAACCCTACAAAGTAGCTATTACTCTCCTCGTGCTAGACCTAGGGTGCTGAAATGAGTAAGTGGTAGGGTAAAGATTCAAACGGAAGTCTATCTAATTTCAAAGTTCAAACAAACAAACCTAATTGCTAATGTTACTCGGGTTTTTGTTTGTACAGAGTTGAAATCTAATCCTAATTTATACAATGGGCCTATGAAAATGCTGAACCAACTAAGAATATATGAAAACGACTTATCTCAGAAGTGGTCAAATGAGAAGTATTCTACCAGAGTCATTTTCCCAACCAGTCCTCTGTGTTTGGGATTGTATATTTAAGAGGCTTAGGGATCCTACTGAATTATTCTGAAGACATGCAACAGGCCTATTTTGTGGTGTTATAGAATCATTGAAAAGACTGGTCTCAATTCACCAAGTATAGGCATTACATTTTATAAGCACTTAAATTTCAACTCAGAAATCGTTTCAGTGATACAGTCACAGAGGAGCCAACAGGCTCCCACGGAATGGATTTCTGAAGAAGCAAATTTATTTACACAACCCTAGCACAATTTGGCTAAGGGAGAGGAGACAAGGCAGATTCCACACAGGAAGGAAGATGATAAAGCTCAAATACTTCTTTGCTTTAAAATCAATGTTCTGCCCAATCTCTCCACAGCAATCATTTAAAATTCCACAATAATGTTTCCTGCCAAAGAGACAAACGGTAATGGGCTTGTCACAGCTGAAACAGAACACCAGGTTTGTTGTTAGTTTATTTGTTTACATAAAATAGATGTGATACCTACCAGTGTATTATCTATACCCTCACAGCAGGTTGATACAGTACTGTTGGGTAAAGAGTGGCTTTTCTTTGGTTTTCCTTCTTTCTCATCAGGGTTCCTTAGAATTCAAGCCACAATGACGTAAGTGAGGATGAAACATTTGCAGGAAGAAAAGATTTTTCCACAGTTTTTTTTCCGTAGCTTGATATATCTAATTTTGTATGCACTATGGATGGCTAGAGCTGGTAACCCAAATATTCTTTATGAGGGCAAAAAATTCTGGTTTTATTTTCTGTTATAGGTTGTTGCCTGAGAGAGAAAATTCAGATTGAAATATATTACAGTCTTTTCTCCAGACCTTGGCTGGAATTTTTACCCCACTCTTTCCTTTTCTGAGAGAGCACACCCATTGCATGTGGACACATGGACACATGTACACACAGACACACAGACCCACAGACATACATAAGACACACACACATACACAAATACACAGACATACACACACACGGACACACACAGACACACATACAGACACAGACATACACACACACGGACACACACAGACACACATACAGACACAGACATACACACACACGGACACACACAGACACACATACAGACACAGACATGCACACACACACATACACACAGACATACACACATACAGACCCACACACAGACACAGACATAAACACACACAGACCCCCCCACACACAGAAATACATACACACACACACACACACAGAGTCTCATATTTTCTGGAAAACAAGAGCCAGAAAAAAAAGAAAAAAAACTCATGTAAATCTCTAGACAGACACATTCATTAATTTTTTTTTTTTTTGCATACAAAACCTATGGATTTTAATCACAGGTGCACTCTCTCAGCTCTCACTTGCTCCCATTTTCTCTTACCATACTCAAAATTCTAACAAGTTTGGTAAGCTCATTTTTGGACCTTCAACAAACTGAACACAGCAGTTATGCTGAGAATAGTGAAAAGGGGCTACAAGGAAGGGAGGAAAATGTACCACCACAAACTAGAAATTTACTAACACACCATTCCACAAAAAATAAATTCTAAATACATGAGCCTGCTAAATAGTGAAAAACACTCTACTCAACCGATCTCAACCTCAAATAAGTGATATTCAAAATAATAAACCTGGCCAGGCGCAATGGCTCACACCTGTAATCCCAACACTTTGGGAGGCCAAGGAGGGTGGATCACCTGAGGTTGGGAGTTCGAGACCAGCCTGGCCAACATAGTGAAACCCTGTCCCTACAAAAAATACAAAAATAGCCAGGTATGGTGGCATGCACCTGTAATCCAGCTACTTGGGAGGCTGAGGCAGGAGAATTGCTTGAACCCAGGCGGCAGAGGTTGCAGAGAGCCGAGATCGTGCCACTGCACTCCAGCCTGGGTGACAGAGTGAGACTCCATCTCAAAAAAAAAACAAAACACAAAAAACAAAAGATTATAAACCTATGTAATAAAAAAAAGGTTTTAGGCAAGATACCATGCTGCATGTAGATCTTTATAAGAGTTTCCAATCAAACCAGCAAAGATAATATAAACTTAAAAAATATTTAGTGCTCAAAGGCCTTGGAGAAAGTACAACTCCCTTAGGAGAAAAAAAAAAAAAAAAAAAAGGCAGCCATGTCCAGGCTAAGCACAGAACTTAGAAGTCAAAACACCTGGAATCAAATCCTTGCCCTACTATTTACAGACTGCATGACATTGGGCAAAAGAATCAACTTCAACATACTTTCCTCGTCTCTAAAACGAGGCTAATGACAGCAACTTCAGAGGCTGTTATAAACATTAAATAAGCTATGTGAGAGTACAACATATGTAGCCCATAAATGTTCTTTCAATCCAAAGAACTGAGATTTTATCATGTATGTGAATCTTCATTGCTTTCCATGAAGCTAATATTAAAAGTATTATTTGCTCTGATGATGTTAATTAAAATAAAAGGATAGGGCTGGGACCAGTGGTACACACCTGTAATTCCAGCACCTTGGGAGTCCAAGGCAGAAGGATTGCTTGAGCCCAAAAGTTCAAGACTAGGCTGGGTGCGGTGGTGCAAGCCTGTAATCCTAGGACTTTGGGAGGGTGAGGCAGGTGGATCACAAGGTCAGGAGTTTGAGACCAGCCTGGCCAAGATGGTAAAACCCCGTCTCTACTAAAAGTACAAAAATTAGCTGGGTGTGGTGGCAGGCGCCTGTAATCCCAGCTACTCGGGAGGCCGAGGCAGGAGAATTGCTTGAACCCTGGGCCTTGGGAGGCGGAGGCTGCAGTGAGCCAAGATTGCACTACTGCACTCCAGCCTGGACAACAGAGCAAGACTCCATCTCAAAAAAAAAAAGTTTAAGACCAGCCCAGACAACATAGTGAGCCCCTGTCTCCACAAAAAATAAAAAGATAAAAAAATTAGCTGGGCATGGTGACTCATGCCTGTAGTCCCATCTACTCAGGAGGCTGAAGTGGGGGGATTGCTTGAGCCAAGAGTTGGAGGTTACAGTGAGCTATGATCGTGCCACTGTACTCCAGCCTGGGCAACAGAACAAGACCCTGTCTCTAAAAATATATATAAATAGGTACAAAATAAAAAAATAAAAGGATAATGTGAGCCAGCAATTTCACTCCTAGGTATATACCCAATAGAAGCATACCTCTGTTCACCAAAAGACACAGATAATAATGTTCATCAAGTATTGTATGTATAATTTATACACACACACACACACACACCCCTTACAAACATACACACACCCATATACATGCTCAGGAAAAAATGTGAACTCTCAAAGTAACAACTCTATGAGATCCTGTGGTAGACACAACTGTACCTCCACCCCTGGCCTTTATATTCCAGATTATATATGGTCTTGAATTTTATGCAAATATTTCCATTGGTTTGTATATTTCTTAACATAAGCTGTCCTGTTCTCTGAAGAATAAGGTGGAGTATAAATATAAACATACATTCACAAACACACACACACACACACACACACACACACACACAAGATCTGAACCAAGTCCTCTTTCAGTCTCTAATTTGAATAAGGGACCAACGCTTCTAGCCAGAGAATGACCCCACATTCAGGAACTCTATGGTACCCCTGTCCCTTGAGCTTTCACACCTTTGCCAAGGTTGATTCCAACACATGTATATTCACAACAGAGGCAGACTAATATCAACTGACCATAAGTAGGGAAAAGCTAAAAGAGATGAATATAGGAAAGAAATTATTACATTTAGCACTGGTAACATAGCGGACAGGGGACTTGGTGCTTTCAGATATGTATCTCATTTCCTCCTCGACACAACCCTGTTAAAACAGAATACTTTTATGGAACTTAAGAAGCCTGCCCACCACCACATAGCTACTAAGGCTTTGAAACCAGTTCTGACTCCGAGTTAGCTTCTCTTTCAACCACACCATAGTTGAACGCTGCCAAACGAAAGAGACATGATTTGCCATGGATCTGGAATGGATTTGATCTGGGCAGAAGTTTTGTATTCCAGTGTTTAAAAACCAGATCCTCCTATTACCAACTGCATAAATATTTACCTGTTTCTAAAACTGCAAAGTTTTGGAATGAGATTCCCAGGTAATACAGCCTCCTCTTCAGAATGCAAAAAGGCATTTAGTCAGGGTCAAGCTTTGGTCTAGGTGGCTATATTATTTCGTATAATTGCTTTTTAACAAGCTTATATACTTGTCGACTTTAATAAAATGCAGATTTTGCCCAGCTCAGCGAACTGGCATCATCATCACTTGCTTCCCGATGGGGAAGCAACACAGATGTTAAAAGTTGCACTGAGCGAGCGAGTCTGAATCCCGACCTGTATCATGGTGTGCAGCTTCCACAGGAGGTGCCCAACCTCCTAGCCCTGGAAAAGGTCAGGAGCCCAGTGAATCCAGCTTCTTTTCACACAAAGAGGATAACAGAGCTGGAATGATTTTTCCCTTAAGGATAGTGGTGTTGCTGTTCACAGAGCCCCCAACCACAAGATATCCAAGACTACCTCCAAGGTAACATGTGGAAGAGGATTCTGCAAAAAGAATCATTTGAGGGCCCCCTTCAGGGATCTGCCCCTTAGCAAAGTCAGCTTTGGGATCTTAGCCTAACTGAACTCATCATTGGCTGCCTCACCTCGCCCACTTGCACATTTATGGCTCCCATTTCCTAATTACTCCATATTGCCACTCTCGGCCTGGGGCTACTTAGATAGCTGCCTTCCTGGTGGGCACTTGGGGGTCGGTAGGCGCAAAGAACCCAGGCCAATGTCAGGGATGGCTTACGGTTATTGTCTTGTGTTTAGTCGCAGGGCTCTAAACCCTTGGATCCTCCAGGCTTTAGAAGGATAATGCGCCCTTCCTGGTTAATATTCTATTGGCCACTGCAGGAATGGGCCATGGAGAGCGAGACCCTGGAGAACTGCTGGGAAGAGAGGCCCAAGGGGTCTGGCTATGGTTAGGGGTGGGGGAGCAGCACAGGAAAAAAAAAAAAGTAATGCAAGCAAAATGAGCTGGGCACAGTGGCTCATGCCTGTAATCCCAGCAATTGGAAAGGCTGAGGCTGAAGGACTGCTTGAACCCAGGAGTTCGAGGTTACAGCGAGCTGATTGTGCCACTGCACTCCAGTCTGAGTTGGACTCTCAAGAAAAAAAGAAAAAAAAGAGGTCTCCTCGCTCTGGTTTCACTGGAAAGTGCTTTAAAATGTGTAATAGAAAGTTTAGGCAAGTGAAGTCCTACCAGCCAGAAATGGAGGGCAAAGAAGGGAGTTCCCATGATTGCCCACCTGCCTTCACTCAACTTCTACTCCTTTGTTTTTTAAAATCTCCTTTAATTCTTACACTATCCTGTGAGTGACGTAAGATTTTCCCCACTTCATACACAAGGAAATTGAGGTACAGAGAGGTTAAATACTAAAAAGCATGATTTCAAAGCCAGGACTGTTTTCTACATCAGTTGTCTACAGCCATACCTTTGCTGATGTGCCTGAGAAATGAATAACAAACAGGAAGACATATATTTCCATGTGATCTGATGTCCTGAGGGGCGGAGGGGAAGGTGGGGAGGTAATTTACCTCTACCCCTGCCTCTTCAGAGACATAAACACAAATTGGCACACCACACACAAATTAACAACAACAAAAAAAGACATAATCAATTTGGAATTAAGAGTTTCCAGGAAATGTGGGCTCCCAGATGCGCATACTACAGTAATTCAGGTGGTTTCTCTCCCTCTCTCTCTGGTTGGGAGCTATTCTGATGATTTCCATTTGGAA